GGCGGCCTGCGCTCCCCACCCGGCCTCTCCCCCTGGGTGTGGCCGCCCTCTGTGCCGTCACAGCCGGGCTGCGCGCCGCGGGCTGCCTCGGAGGGTTGCCTTCTGGAGGCCTTTGGAGTGGGCAGGGTTCCTTTGCCCCCGCGGGCGCCTGTGCCCGCAGGACGTACCGGCGACGGCTGCCGTCGGGGCATCTTCAAGGCTGGGTAGAATGGAGACCCCCGAAGAGTGGACTTCCACTGGCGCGGGGTGTGGACGGTGGCCTCTCCACTGCCCGCCACTGGGAACCCCTGAAGCCCCCCCAGGTGTCAGCAGTGACGTCCCTCAGAGGTGCGTAGTGACGCCCCTCACAGTGGGCAGTGCCCCTGCTTCCCCGCTGGTAGGACAACGCCCAGGTTGGGCCAGGCCCCACGGCCCCCGTTGTGCTCATCGCGGGAGTGGCCGCACCCAAGGTGCTGGCTGTCCGTTAGCACCAGCCCGGGGTGCCCAGGACACTGCCCTGTCCCAGACAGTGCCTGGGCAGCCGTGGTCCCTGCAGGCCGCAGGAGAGCGGACCACGAAAGCAGAACCAGGCACCACCGGAGAACTGGAGGTCGCGCCCCACCCCGGCCCAGCTAGGCTTCTTGTCAGCAAGTAGCCACTGCCCATCACTCGATTTGGCCTGGTTTCTGGGTGCTGCTGCAGGTGTCACCCCACCCCTGTTACATGCTTAAGTGAGAAAGAACTTTCAGTATCAGAGCTGCTCCTGTTTGTTCTTGGAAACTTAGGTGTGTGTCCCCCTCCCCGCACCTCTGATTCGTGCCCCTGTAGGGCAGAGGCAAGAAATCAGGGCTGGAGGTTAGAAAGTTGGGATTTTCTACCTGAGCTGAGGAGCCTTCGGACGGGTAGTGGTTGCAAGTTGGGCTGCTAACCGCAAAGTCAGATGTTCAACCATCTCCTGCTCCACTGTGGAAAAGTTAGGTTTTCTACTCCTGTAGAGTTAGTCTCCAAAACCCACGAGGGCAGGTCCACTGTGTCCTACAGGCTCACTGTGCGTCAGAAACACCAGATGTTAGGTTTTGTTGTTGTTGTTGTTTTGAGGACCTTAGCTTGTTAACCATAAGAGGCGTTTTATCTTTGTTATAAGACATCACCATTGTCACCAGCCTGCCAGCCTGTCTTAAAGAGCTCTGAGCAGGATTAAATGGGATCACTATGAAGGCTCTTAAAGCAGTCCATATCAAACCCTGCTGGTCATAGGGATCCCCTGGGGAGCTTTTAAAAATCTGTGTCCAAA